GGTTACCAAGGACCTCAAGGAGACCTCCGTCGAGGAGAAGGCATGATTTCCATCACCGCCCTCCAAACCGTCGCCTGAGCCTGAACGGAGAAACTCCTCTCCAACTCACCCAATGACTATTCGGTCAGCCTAATGGTCCCGGGTACCTCAAACCTATAAAGATAAACGAACACACACACACCCAAAACTCCTACCCTTGCATAAAAAGTCGGATCTCGGGGACGCAAACATTTTTTTTTATAACTGTGGCGATTTTCTGCGTCTTTCCAGCCTACTTGCTCGCCGACCTTGAGGGCTTTCTTGTACTTAGCAGCTCCCCCTGTTCCAGCGCAAAATGAGAGGAAAAGAGAAAAGCTATTTTCAATCTGTACATGATGGGGCATTCTTATACTGTCATGTGATGGGCAGTGAATATCCTAGCTGCCCAAGACTAACCCACCAGAGCAGACCTCAGTGGTCAGAGATAACCTTGTACTGCCCACGAACTGTCCCAATCACGGCCATGTCTGAATGCCCACGTCCACCAACGCCAGCAATGCAAGTACAACAAAAGAAGCTCTCCCCTGCCCCCCAGGTTGCCATGTCTGACGTGCATGACGAAACCAACGGCTGCAACAGGCGCGCTGTGCCGACCCTATCACGACGCCGAATCGCCGGCATTGGTCCGTCCTCTTGGGCTCGCGTCGGGCAGGTGTGCTTGTGCGTCATGTCGGACATGACCCTTGAGTAAGGGAAGAAAAGCAAAGAATCCCCGCTATCGTTGACATGCTGCTGACCTGTATGTGGAGTGACATGTTCTTCATAGCTGATATTCCTTCTTTTCGGGTGCAGTTTTCGGTCTCTGCGCTTGATTTGACTCGCGTCCTGTCTAGGTAACCTCGGTTGCTCGCGTTGTGTGTATGTGTGTTGTGTGATCATATGACGTCTGTTTGATTCGCGGACGTGACGAAGTCGCATGTTCACAACGGCAACACAATGATGTGTGTCGTGTCCCAGATTCATCCAAGGAAAGTAAGTGCTCAGAGGCAAGTCAAGGGGTGAAGACGTTCGTCTCTTTCGGACTTCTTTTTAAATGTTTGTAGATTGCTCTAGCTCGCCGCATATCTGAGAGGCTGTTTTCATCTGTCATAGAATACTAGCGCAAAAGTATGGTAAAAGTGGAAGAAAAATAAGAGGTATCCGGCCTGCGCCGTCGTGAATGCCAGCCATGAATGTGAGGTTTCCCCTCTTTCCGTTGCCCGTACACCGACGCCAACCTACCGAAAATGACATAAGAGATGGAACATGAAAAAATCAAGTACACAAAAGCTGGTGAAACGGAAACACGATTTCTGTCTCTCTCTAGAAACGTATCAACAACGCCGCGGTGGAGGATCCCTGAATGATGCCGCACCGTTTCTGCAATGCAATAGTCTGGCTAGGCCGCGGGAAAGGGGGGAGAAGGTTTATGCAGTTCGTGGATCTCATGAAACATCATTACAAACAAGACCTTTTTGCTTCCGGGGGAATATCCAGCGCGTGAATCCTTTAGTATGGTTGGCCACCGTAGCCGTAGTAAGCGCCGGGACCGGGCGGCGGTGCCATTCCTGCCATTCCCGGCATTCCTCTGGAGCCGAAAGGTGCCGGGGGACCAGGTGGTCCTCCTGGAGGAGGACCTGCGGGCGGCATGGATCTCCTGTTTTCCCTGGGGTCTCTAGGGGCTGGTGTTCTCCTGCCCATTCCCCGTGGGTGCTCGAATGGCGGTGGTGTTCTTCGTGCGAATGGGTCCTTCTCGTGCGAGCTGACACCTGCAATGGCCGGAATGTCACGTCCACCAACCTGAATCCGCCGGCTAGTTTTCCGAGAGCCGCTGAGGGCGCTCAATGGAGGATCCTTGACGGTGGGATCGTCATCGGGAGGGAGCGTCAGGTCTACCAGACTGTAAAAGTATTCCAAAACCTCGGGATATCGTTGAACGCTGGACTGCCAGTCCTCGTCAATACCGCGCTTCAGGCTCGCTTGTGCCTCGGCAATCTCGTTGGGGTGAGGTTGGGTGTGGTAGTAGTGGTAGGCTTGAGCGGTGATGCGTTCGAGGTTGGCGGTGTGAGCAGCCTTTCGGCGCTCAGTGAGCAGACGGAAATACTCCAAGATGTAGTCTTGGGCATGGGCACGAACCCAGGTACTGGCGATCGAGTCAGCGTTTGGAGGAACTACAGCGTTGCTTTCCCTCCTGCTTACCGAATCTCGTTGTATATCGTATTCATCATGCGATGTTCGGCCTGCTTAATGGCAACATCAAGACCCTTGGCCTCACAATCGCATGCCAGAGTGGCAGGAGCATGGCAAATGGCGCAGTCGGGGTCCATCCTGACAGTGGTTTTGCGCTGACGAGGCGTGCGTGGTGTCCGCGGCCTGTGATCTCTCTCTCTGGTATACATCTTAGCGGATGGTTCCCTTTTCGGACGCCGACGGTCTATAGTCGACGGATGGGGCAAGGTTCCGAGTAAGGATGGTGTACAAGGAGATCAAGATGGTTCATCCACTACTGGTACAATGGACATTCTTCCTCGAGACCCGTACCATGGGTCTCTTGAGAAAAGAAATGCTGGGTTGGGGTTGCAATGGGGCGTTGGAGAGGAGAGGGAGTGTGGGAGGAAGAGAGGAAGGCGGTGATGAACTGACCTGACTTATTATTAAGAGGGGAGGATGGTGACAGATGAAGGACCCGACGTGTCGGCAGCGGTAAGAAAGGAATTGGGAATAAACAATACTAGGACGAATAAAGCGAGTTGGTACTGTCGGTTGGTGCGAGGTATCATGCAGCTTCGAAGCATGAAACAAGACGACAGACAGCAAGCAGCAGCAATAGTGGCAGCAGTAACAGTGAGCAGTGAGTGAGCAGTGCAGAAGGGATCCAAGGTCGGGGGATAGGATGGAGAGGACCGAGGCAGGGAGCAAACGAGAAGTGGTCGTACTCGTTGCCGGTGCGGTGCGGTGCGTTGCGGTGCGGTGCAGTGCAGTCGGGAAGCACGACACAGGCGGCTCCTAGTGAGAAGGGTAGACGAGACAAAAACAGACGATGCGGAGGAGACGTGGGGAGAAGATAGTTCGATCCACGAGGGCGCAGGCAGATGAAGAGAAGGTCGAATGGGAAGGGGTTTTTGACTGCAGCGAGTGTCGTGGCTCGAATGCGAGCGTGTTGCAATATGCAAGTCTGGGGGCAGAGTGGCCCAATGGGAGGGGTGGCAAGCAGGAGAGGAGACGTCGTTTGCCCAACGGCGTCCCAATGGGATGAGCTGGTGTCGGCGCTGGTGCCGGTGCTGGTGCTGGTGCTGATGCTGATGCTGCTTGGGCGGACACTAACGAAGCGGCGGGCTCTGCGTGCGTCTTGCGTGGTTCGTGGGATGGGAGGGGGGAAGAATGGGATGGCAGATACGATACGGTCTGTGGGAGGTGGAAGACGATGGATGGGAGGAAATGGTAAAAACCCGCAGCCAGACAGACTCTGAAGAGTTGCGGTGCAGCAAGCTGTTTGGATCTGAGCAATGAGAGAAGTGGACGGGGACGATTATGTGTGTGCGTTGTGGCGACCTCGTTCAGTTTTCGGCTCCCAGCTTCAGCTTTTCTCCAGTCTGGCTCCGGTGCCGTCTCCGTTTCCGCCTTTGGTTTGGGTTTGGGCTTCAAGGCGGTCAACGGCCAATTGCTAGACCAGACTGTGTCTGTAAGGTCACCTCAGGTAAGGTAGCATGTACCCGACGCCTGTGACCTGCCCTCCTGCAGCAAGGCAAGACAACCTCCACTGGGAGACACCTCAAGAAGAGAAGCCGCGGGGCGTTTGCTGTGAAGCGGGGAGGGGAGGTTGGGCGAGAAGCGAGCGACAAGCACCAGCCTGCTTCCCGCTGGCCGTCTTCTGTCCAACGGGAGCCACCGAAGAGGAAAGAAAGCGGAGAGGGGCAGAGAGTCAGACCCGCCCGACCTGGGACCTTCGAGGCGCCGACACGGCCGGCAGGACGGGGTGGGGTGCGGTGGGGTGGCTGGCTGTGTGGATTTCCACCTCACACACACACACCACTGGACACCAACACCACACTGCACAGTGGACACTGCACGACTCTGCTGCTGCTGCGAGGATGGATGCAACCCAGAGGGCCCAATCCATTTGCTCGCCCACCATCGAACAGTAGATTGCCATGGCCATTGAGCCTCAAAGTTGTTGCCATTCCCTTCAGCTCCAAGAAAACACCAACCACTTGGTTTGCCATCACCATCGCCGTCGCCATCGTCGCCCATGGCTTTGCCGCCGGTGTTTGGCGGAACGGCCGGTGGTCGATGCATCTGCAACCCCTCCTGTCAGAACCTCAGACCCCCGCTCACCGCATCTTGAGACCATGCACCTTCACCTTTGCTAGACTGCCAGAGCCTGCCGCCCGCTGGTGAAGCATGCCCACCGAAACAGATAGAGTTGTCGGATTACGGTGCATCGAGGCGATGAATCTGTGGCAAGCGGCCATCGGTAAGCTGCATCGTCCTTTTTCCGTGCATTTCGATTCGGTTAAAGTTGCGTTGGTTGTACGAAGCCCACCAGTGGTTCATGAGGTGTGGAAGGGACGTCCAAGAGGCTGAAAAGACGCCCGATCCCTTCGTTTTATGTCTTGTCCCAACGCAGGCAACTCAAGGCAACCAGGCAGTGCTCTGGCCTAAAATTGACGGCTTTCGATAAGCTTGGGCTGCCAGACAGCGTCGTTCGCCAGTTGATCCCAGTCGCGGTCGGTTGCTCCCGCCCCTGCCACATTATGTAAGAACCTACCTTGCGGTGTAGAGGTTGCGCATCGACAGTAATCACAAGGGTTGGACATTGTCGAGAGTAAAAGTGTTACTAGCTAAGAGCAATCTTGTGGGAGCAATCAAGCAGTACTTATTTTTCACAGCTCATGGCTGACCAATATGTTGTTCCTTAATCCTGTTCCATCATCGTCTCTATCTTCCCTACAGAGACAAGCGATGAGACAGGGAATTCGGCAATGTCAGTTGCGGAATCTCACGCAACAAAGTCGGCCAGCGACAACGCCCATGATGCGGTCATCGATGTTCCTACGTCGAGTATTGACGCCGAGAGCTTATCGTACAGAGGATCCAACGGATGGCTAGATCAAACGAATCTGACCACAGAACAGACGCAAGCGCTCATAAACTACCTATGCACCAAATATGATGCAGTTGAAATCGGGCGCCTTGGAACTCGTTCCCGACTGCATCGGCCTGGCTGTCATCTATGACACCCTTGTTTGTCATCGAGCTTACAAAGACGGATTTCGAAACTTTTCACCACCGTCTCGTAGCGCTTTCTTCCAAGATCCGGGACGTTCCCTTGCTTTTGCGCTACAACAATGGCCCTTTGCTCAATTCCGAGCACCCTATCGACTCGGGCGCAGCCAGAAACCACCGATTCATGAGCATGGGATGGCGGTACTCAAAGGTTGTTGGGGCTCGCGGCTCCTTCGTCCAACAGACAGCCTATGCTGATCTGCAACTGAGGAACGCAGATACTGCTGGCGAATTCATTCGCTATTCTGACGTGTTCGACCCTCTCATCGAAATAGGTTCTGAGGTTACGCTGTGATGCAGCAATGTTTTGGAGATGGCATCCGAACACGAATAATTGGCTTCGTAGATGTCGTCCCCCTGCCACATTATGTAAGGCAACCTACCTTACACATCTCTTATCTTATCGCTCTATGGCAGTAACCCAAAATTTCCCAAGCTTCATGACAACCAACTGCAGTTGACCAATTCTTCACGATCGGCTTCTAGCTGGCTCGCTCGGGACAATGGCGTCGAGATGCTCCGGCAGTCATTCTTTGTTTCTTCCGTTCCTGTATCCCTCTCTTTTTGTCTCCCGAGCCACCAGCGCATCCCGTCTCGCTTCGAGGACCATCGCATCCCGCCGCCATAGCTCCACCCACGTCGCCCAAGAACCACCATCGAGCCGACTCAACCCCGCGCCCGACGACTATGCCTCGCCCAATTTTGCCGACAAGGCCAGCTTGACCCTTTATGCTGGCCCTGGTGGCCATGGGTGTATATCATTCATGCGCGACGCATATCTTCCCGACGGTCCCCCAAACGGCGGCGATGGAGGCCATGGAGGCAACATTTACATCCAAGCCGTCCACGGCGAGACCTCTTTACACAAGCTAGCGAGGAGACGCTTTATTCGTGCAGGGCGGGGAAAAACCGGACAAGGTAGCGCAAAGGGCGGCCAGCGGGGCGAGGATGTCATCATCACCGTACCCGTCGGTACTGTTTTGCGCGAGCTGGAAAGAGAAGACCCCGTTGCTGAGGAGGCGGTGCTCCAGCGCGCATTGCGAGCGAAGAGAAAGGCCGAAAAGCGTGCAAAGCGAGAGCGCGAAGAGGAGCTTGCGCGCAGAGAACTGGTGATGACCGACGAGGAGATTGAGGAGGATAGATTGATCGAAGAAGAACGCAAGGCCAAGAAGCCCGAGCTGGAGGATGATGAGCCAGAGGATCCCGAGCGTCACAAGTGGCTTCTATATCCAGGCCTGTCCAAGTCCGACCTGAAGACTATTGCTCTGCCAAAGGCCCCCCGCCGTCAACGACTTTACCACCAGCCTCCTGGCCCTATCCAAATCGACCTGTCACGCCCATCACCGCAGCCTATTCTGCTCGCCACCGGAGGTGTTGGTGGTCTCGGCAACCCGCACTTTGTATCTCGCGAATTTCCAAGGCCAATTTTCGCAACAAAGGGCGAGCGAGCGGTGACGATGCAAATCGAACTCGAGCTAAAGCTGCTCGCCGACGTTGGTCTCGTGGGTTTGCCCAACGCCGGCAAGAGCACACTGCTTCGGGCTCTTACGAATTCGCGCACTCGGGTCGGAAATTGGGCTTTCACCACTTTGCAGCCCAACATCGGCACCGTTGTGTTGGACAACTACAAGGGCCGACCGGTCATCAAGAGTTACAAGCGCTATCCCGCTGCCGCATCTTCGACTGGCAGCCACGAGGAAGAAGTCCGGGTTGAACAGCGAACTCGCTTCACCGTTGCTGATATTCCAGGTCTCATCGAGGGCGCTCATCTGGACCGCGGGCTTGGCATGGAGTTCTTACGTCATGTCGAGCGAGCTGCGGTGCTCGCTTTCGTTATCGACCTCTCTGCTGGGCCCGCCGTGAAGGCGCTCGATGCTCTGTGGAGGGAGGTTGGCCTCTATGCCCAGATGCGCGAAGAGGAGGAGCGAGATCGTGAGGTCGACTCTCGTATCGACTGGGACCTCGCTTCCAACGGCGACACCCAGCGTCCATACGGAGGCAACATGATGATTGCCGATGCCCCTGAAACCCCCAAGGAGGAATCGGGACTACACATCACGGCCAAGCCGTGGTTCGTGGTCGCCACCAAGGCTGACCTTCCCGAGACGCAGGAGAATTTCAAGCAACTTAAGGAGTACCTTGAGAAGATCAACAATGGAACCGCTCCTCACCCAAGTGGCGTTGAGAAGGGAACCTGGACGGAAAATTGCGCCGTCATTCCCGTTAGCGCCATCCATGGCCAGGGAGTTAACAGGATTGTCCACTGGACTGTTGGATTACTTGACGAGTAAATGTATCACGCTTGTATCATATTTGTTCAAAACCACTCAAAGCCAGTCTTGGACTGATTGCATTCTTGAAATATAAAACAAAGAAGCCACCCATTACTTGAAGTCCCTTTTTTACATTTTGTATGATACCCCGGACTCGTGCTCCATCATGTCGAAGGCCGGCTTCGCAGAAAACCATCCCGCCATCTCGGTACCGATAGACTTGTATGTGAACTCGGCATCCTCCTGCTCAACCTTGGTGGTCAAGTGACCACGACCTCCCGCGGCGGCATCGGCGAGGAGCTGCTGGTGGCAGCAGCGCTCCAGGCTGAGGAACCAATACACGCAGCTCTCGACCGATTTACCGCAGGTGATGAGGCCGTGGTTCTGCAGGATGGCGGCCTTCTTCTCTCCCAGCGCCTTTGCGATGCGGATGCCCTCCTCCTTACCCAGCACGATCCCGCCAAAGTTGTCGTACAAGACGACGTCGTTGTAGAAGGCGCACGTGTCTTGGCTGATGATGTCGAGGTTGCGGCCGAGGGTGGAGAAGGCCTGGCCGTAGAGAGAGTGGGAATGGGCTACGCAGTTGATTTCGGGCCTGGCTTCGTGGACGGCGTGGTGGATCATATACGCTTGGAGATGTTAGCACGCTCTTCATCTTAGCATGGTTTGAGAGAGTGGCGAACCGGCGGTGTTGAGCAGTCTCACAGGGCCGCCCTCGACGACCTCACCGTTCTCGTCCACCCGGATCAAATCAGATGCCTTGAGCAGAGGCCACGGGACGCCGAATGGGTTCAGCCAGAAGGTCCCTGGCTCGACTGGGTCCTGAACCATCTTGTCAGAAGAGAGGCTGCAATGCGAAAACCCGAGAAACTCACGCGAACAGTGATATGGCCAGCCACGCCTGCATCAAAGCCGTTCTTGGCGAAAATGCGGAAGCCCAAAGCGAGACGTTCCTTGAGATGCTGTCGTTGCTGGTACGGGTCGTCGTACTTGACTGGCTTCATGTTCAGAGAGAGCTTCATTGAGCCTCTGTCCACGGTCGTTTTGGCCTTGCCATTGGAGGCGGCGGTTGCGTCCACCTGTGGGATCTGGTTGACAGTTGATGCGGGGGCCATGATTCCGGGTTGTGAATTTTACAAAGTCACGAAGTGGAGGGGCAACAATCCTTACCAATTAAGAAAGGAATGAATCTAAGAGAGCTATGGCATTTTAAGTAGTCCGAGTCGCCTCCAGCTCGCGCCCTTGTCGAGCCGAAAGGCGCGGACGCATCCTCGCATGCGGGGATGTCTCAACCTCTCGGCTGGCATTCGGCTGCCGTTTCCCACGTTCTGATGGCAAAACAAGCTCTTGTTGGGGGAAACATAGCATAATCGAAAACTAAGGTACCTACGGCGGCAGGTAGTAACAGAAGCTCCCCAGGTCCCGAGGCAACAACCCCGCATTGGGCGATCGATATTAGGCCTATCCTTGCCATCGACTGCCTCGGTGCCCACTCCATGCTGCGAGCAGGACCCAATCAGTTTCCAGGCATTAGCAGACCAGACGTCTCTGTACGCCAGCCAACACACAGACTTGCTCGCGTGCCACCGATGACTTATATGTCATTTGCGAGTTAGAAGTACACGGAGGCAAGAAGCGAAGGGCAGCTCTGGTGCTGCGCCGCGGATAACACGGAGCTTCAGAGGTTTCAGGAGCTTTCGTGTAAAGCCGTCAGAGCACACTCGCCAATCAACGACCACAAAGTTGTTCGCCAGATCAGTCGAGCTGAGGTTCACGTTGTGAGACTTGGTACTGTATGCCTCAGAGTTCCCCCCTTGAGATGAAGTCTCCAGGAAAATGGACTTTTTCAAGCAACTCCCCGCTGACTGATGGAGCTGTTGGCTTTGAGGAGCTGCAGTGTCTTTCAGGTGCTTCTGCGGATACAAGCCGGAGGGAGACCCTGAGGGACAGGGGTCTAATGCGGGGTGATAAGATAACCCACTTAACCTCTTTTGATTGGCCAATCTTTTCCAAATCGAGGGGCTGGCGCATACCGCCCGAACCTCCAACTTTTTTTTTTTTTTGTCGGTCTCGTTTGAGTGACGGCAAAATTTCCTACCGCGCGACAGCTGTTGCGGTCTCACCTCTGAACTCCATCTCCCACAACACACGTGCGCGCGCGACCAACAATACACGCGCGTCAACAGAGCCTGCATTATGGGTCGCAAGTTCAAGGTTGGTCGCCTTTTAATGTCGAAATGAAGACTTGGTTGTGCTGACATGCGCGGTAGGGCAAGAAGGGCAAGGGACGCGGCGGCGGCGCTGACCGCGGCCGCCAGCCTCGCAGCGAGTCGTGGCAGTCGTACCCGGCCGTCGACAAGAAGAACGAGAGGCTTCAGCGCTATTACAACACCATCATCGGTCTGTCCGAGGAGGAGCAGGGTCCCTTCTGGGATGCGCTGCGCAGAGATCTCCCCAACAGCTTCCGTTTTTGTGGCTCCAAGGGGTACGTCGCAGTGACTCAATTGAGATCGATCATGGACTTCGTACTGACTCCCATATAGCCACGCATTGACCGTGAAGAAGCTCTTCCAGGAACGGTACATGCCCGAGATCGTCAAGATCGAACACGCCGACGGCCGCGCCGTCGAGCCCCCCAAGCCTCTCGAGTGGTACCCGAACGACCTCGCCTGGTGGATGACCACCCCGAAGAACGTCATTCGCAAATATGCTCCCTTCTCCTCCTTCCAGAAGTTCTTGGTCTCTGAGACGAGTGTCGGCAACACGAGCAGACAGGAGGTCGTCAGCATGATCCCTCCTCTTTTGATGGACGTTCGTCCTGGTATGACTGTCCTGGACATGTGCGCCGCTCCCGGCAGCAAGGCCGGCCAGCTTCTTGAGATGATTCACCAGGGCGAGGAGGCTAGAATCCGAAAGGTCCTGCGCGCCTACGCCAAGGAGGATGGACTTGCCCTTGGCGAGGAGACTGAGGAGGAGCGTGAGGCTGATCTCGCAGCCGACTCTTCGGATGACGGTCGTGCCACCGGTCTTCTGATCGCCAACGACGCCGACTACAAGCGGGGACACCTCCTTGTTCACCAGCTCAAGCGCCTTTCATCACCCAACCTGCTCGTCACTAACCACGACGCCACGCAGTACCCGGCAATCAAGCTCCCTTCGGACCCCGCGACCCCGAACAAGCCCGTCTACCTCAAGTTTGACAGAATCTTGGCTGACGTTCCTTGCTCTGGCGACGGTACCTTGAGAAAGAACGCGAACCTTTGGAAGGATTGGCAGCCTGGAAATGCCCTCGGTCTCCACGTTACTCAAGTCAGAATCCTGCTGCGTGCCCTCGCCATGCTCAAGGTCGGAGGCCGTGTTGTCTACTCTACCTGCTCCATGAATCCCGTCGAAAACGAGTCCGTTATCGCTGCTGCCATCGATCGCTGTGGCGGCCCCGACAAGGTCGAGATCGTTGACTGCAGCAACGAGCTGAAGGGTCTCGTCAGAGCCCCTGGTATGCGCAAATGGCAGATCATGGACAAGTCTGGCAGGCTGTGGAGCTCTCAGGCGGAAGTCGATGAGTTTACCAAGAACAGCACTGATGGCATTGCACCTGGCAGGCTTGCCGAGACCATGTTTCCTCCCCTGGAGGGCAGCGTCTGCGCTGACCTTCCCCTTGAGCGTTGCATGAGAGTCTACGGTCACCAGCAGGACACCGGCGCTTTCTTCATTACGGTCCTGCAGAAGAAGTCGGAGCTCAAGATTCGTCCCGAGGACCAGAAGTCCGATTCAAACGGGACCGGAGCGACCGTCACACCCGCGGCTGAGAACGGCACCGAAACCAAGACGGAGGAGAACACTGAAGAGAAGGTCGAGAAGACTGAGGAGAAGGTTGAAGAGAACAGCGAGGAGACGGCCGAGGCTGCGGCTGAGGAGCCCGCGCAGGATACTACAAACGGCACTAAGCGACCGCGCGAGGACGAGGCGGCTGAAGGCGAGACCCAAGACGCGAAGAAACCCAAGCTTGCGTCGCAGAACAAGCCCCAGAAATCCAACCGCAACGCCCACGGCCAGGTCGAGGAGCCCTACAAGTACCTCGACCCCAAGCACGAGGTCATCCAGCACATCAAGGGATTCTATCACATCTCTTCTCGTTTCCCGGAAGACCGCTTCATGGTGCGCAACGCCGCCGGCGAGCCTGCCAAGGCCATCTACTACACCTCTGCCCTGGCGCGCGACATCCTCAGAGAGAACGAGGGTCGCGGCATCAAGGTCATCCACGGCGGCGTCAAGATGTTTATGAAGCAGGACGCCCCGTCTGCGGAGGTCTGCCGCTGGAGAATCCAATCCGAAGGCATGCCCATCCTCCAGGGCTATGTCGGCGAGTCTCGCGTCGTCCGCCTCACAAACAAGGAGACCCTCCGCAGGCTCCTCATCGAGATGTTCCCCCGTATCGCCGACGGCGAGTGGCAGTCCATGGGCGAGATAGGAGAGCGCATCAGGGACATTGGCATGGGCTGCTGCGTGCTGCGGGTTGAGCCCGACGGCTCCGATGCCGCCTTCAGCGAGCGTATTGCGCTCCCGTTGTGGAAGAGCATCCACTCCCTCAACCTCATGCTGCCCAAGGACGAACGCACGGCGATGCTGTTGCGTATCTTCAACGACACCACGCCGTTGATCAACAACAGCCTCCAGAAGCAGAAGCAGATTGACGAGGCTGCCAAGGCCAAGGCCGCTACGGAGGCCGCGATCGCCGAGCAGGAGTATGCCGATATTGAGGATGCACCCACTCCCGAGGAGATGGATGCCGAGCCCACCTCGGTGCCCGCGGCTGAAGAGGCCGCCCCCGAGACCACCAACGGAGAGAACTAGGGAACGCCGTTTGCTGTTGCTTGGAGAGAGAGCAAATAGGATCAGCTCTGGGAAGATACCTCTGGCGAAAATAGCAGTGGAGGAATCGTGAGCAACAACAGCCAAGAGCAGTTATGGGAAGACGTGTTTGCCCAGGAGGTCCAATTGATGGCTGATGAGAAGCGTGAGGAGCCGGGTGTACATCCAGTTGGCACCCCTGTGCCAGAGAACTGGCCATCGGGGTCCGCAAGAGCTCGTCACATCAATGATAGTCTCTGGGAAGTTCGCCGGAAGCGAGCACACTACGCTGCTGATCCGGGATGGAGATGGGATGGGCTGAGGCTCTGGCCCATTCCGAAGGCGTCGACCTGCGCAAGGTACTAGACGAAAGACAAAATGTATGAGTACATGAGAGATTTGTTGGAGTAGCACATGACAGTCTGTGAATAGATTTCTTTGGCATTGAATCAGACTTTTATCTCGCGGCATGCGTTGTTGAATGATCGTGTGTGCTTTCTTATCATAAGGGAAAGGAATTAAAGAGTATGAAGAGGGCAGATCTGAACAACATCTGTTAGACAAGCTATCAGCACACAACAAAGACCAGATTCTGAAGGCATCCAAGTGGTCCAGACAACACAACAGAAGTTGCGCAGGTTATGAATTACACAAGGCAGGGGTAAACATAGTGATTAAGTAAACAGCTTGTTTACTTAGTTAAGTCCCTTAACCCTTTAGCCTCTCTATACCTAGATTATCAGGACTTGAAGGTGTGTCTGGAGAGAATATCATAGGAGACACTAAAGAGTTGAACAAAACTCCAGACAGGACAAAAAGGAAAAAGAGATGTGTGCGCTGCAATCGCGGACGGGAATTGAGCCCGACGTGGCTATGATAATGTTAGAATACATACAGACGACGTATCTTTAGGAACAGATGGTGCTTACGGGTCGAACCCACAACCTTGAGATTAAGAGTCTCACGCTCTACCGATTGAGCTAGCCGGGCGAGTTGATGAAGAGTTGTGATGGGGAGACGGGTTTATGGTGGGAGACGAGGTGAGGTCCTCGTGGGTGGGGGGCTCGTCTCCTTCCTGTGGGGTTTTCAAGCCCTTTGAAGTTGACTCGGGGGAGTCGAGCTGAGACTCCATAAGATGGCTTGAGTTGTTGTCGCGCTCAGTTCATAAGTGCAGAGCTGGTTGATGGACAGCAACATCCAATCTGACTGTTCTCAGTCAACAAACCGGCAACAAACACAGACTAGCTGGCCAAATGAAGAACCT